TAAATGACAATTTTTACCTTTTTATCAGGCGTATAGAGAACGAGGCAAGGAAAAGCCTGAAGATTGATAAAATGCAATCATATAGGGATGTTAATCTAAAACAGAATCTTGTTTCTGCATTATATAAATCAGCTAGCATTGCAGATGGTTGGAATATTGTCTTGAATCATATTGAAAATTGCCACGTTGCCAACTCATTATTTGGTAGAATTATAGATTCATATGCAAGTATTCGATGTAGGTCATATGCTAATGTTTATATGTATTTACGGAAGCTGCAAGACCAGAAGGTTTCAAAAAAGGGGGAAAAAAGTTTAAGGAAACAATTGTGCAAATGAGGTAGCTGTTTTTAAAAATGATGGATTGACATGAAATTTTGGTGGAAAGATTTTAAGACGACTTTCCCAACTTCTTTTCAGAACATATGACAACTGTATATTTAGACTTTTTTGGTATTAATAAAATATTTATTGCCATAATATTCACGAGTATCAATATGTCCATGCATGAAGAGAGCTCAGAAGCCTATATGGTAAATACATCACTGACAGATAGCATTCTTGAACATGCATATAAAACATTTATAGGGCATCAACTGTCAAAACACCATTCACATGACAACACAAATAACAAAATTAATTTTTACTAAAGATGCTAATTTACATTTTTTATTTGAAAAAATTAACCTTGTATTATTCACTAATCATGTGGTTAAAACTGTAATAACATGCCTTTTTTTTAATGACCAGTCCCCCCCCCAAAAAAAAAATTTTGCAAGTGGGAAAAGGAGTTTCCGCTGGGTATATATACAACATAATATCAATGTAGAAATAAATCAAAACAATGTCTGAAATCTTCCTGTCTTTTTTTTGTGGTATAGTGCTAAAAATATTAACAAAATTTACAATTTTTGAAGGTGGATCTCAACACTGATCGTATGGTCAAATATAAATACTGTATCCCCCCCTTTTTTTAAACTAACAAAATATTTGAACCCCTATTAAGCACAACATTGTAATTAATGACAGCAATGGTGTTGCCTGAAGTCTCTTCCTTGGTCTTCTTTGAAGAGGTGTATCAGACAGCAAGAACCAATGAACGTTTTTAAATATTTTTTTCTCTCAGGTGCTCCCTATTTGAGGGCGTGATCACCTGGGTCAAAGGTGAGACCAGCACGTGGTCTTTTTGTTTACTACTTAGCTGTACTGTGTACCTGTGGGTTTATTCTGTGTGTATTCGGATGTTCTAATCTTGGTGTTTTTTCAGTGATTTCTTTAGGTGCAATCCAAATACAGTAGGTGTGTCTTGTTTACCTGAGATTTGCAAGAGTTTGAGCTGGCCAACATGTTAGTTTTTTTCAAGTGGTTGATTACTGGCATGTTGATTTCCCATTTTTGCGCCATATTTTCAACTTTGTTCATCATTTTCATATAGCAATCTTGTCATATATTAACATTGTCGTCTATGGAGTTTCAATTAGTGGTATGAGCCCTACACACAACTAAACATGCAATGGTGATCCTTCTTTCTGTTTATTTATCATTGTCTTCCCTTCTATCATCATGATGGACGATTATTCCGATCTGGTTAGTTTGTTAAAACAGAATGTCAATCGGAGAAGGTTGAAACAAAAACACATTAGGCCAATGTCACATGTGTACGTTGATTTTGAACAGTGGTGTCTTCTTTCAAGTTTTCTTGTGTGTTAATTTTTTGCATTGTGTTGTTATGTGTTAAAACCAACAAGGACAATAGAATAATGGTCCAGTGGCCGACATCATGTGTGTATCATAAACAAATAGAATAGTGCTGGTCGCCAAATTTTTGGGGTCCTACTAAAAAGTGTCCGGGAGAGTCCGGGAGATATATATGTCCGTCCAGGGCTGAACTACGCATCGCAACAACTCCAATTGTGAATATTCGAATACGCTTGATCGTAAAATATGTTTATTCGCTAAAATAATAAGCGATGTACCTTCAGTTGTCGTTTTATTCAACACGATTTGCGACCCACTTTTACCGACCGGTTTGTTCAGTGGGCGGCCATCTTGAATGTTGGATGTCAAGCTGGGACAACACCATTTGCGTCACGGGGGTCGATGACGGCAGCAAG